TGGTTTGTGGATGAACATCTTGAAGCCTTGCGTCTGGCTTCAAGGTTGTCACAGTCTTGTTTTTTGGCCATATTTAGTTAAGAGGTTATCGGCTGATGCTAGCTAGCTTGATAGGCAAGGTACATACGAAAACTGCACAGGTGAATCGGACAAATGTCTGCTGACATGTAAATAAAATACCCTTTGAAGTGTTCTTAATGGAATTATTAGGTAAAAATAAATGTAGCTTGCTGTGCAGTGAAAACTATATACAGATCAAGCTCAAAGCCACCGTGACATTAAAGCCTTAAAAAATGTCAACTTATTAAAAATTATTTGTTTTCTTAAAGGAGTAAATTAAGTGTAGAAGAATAAAACAGTTTCCTCAACCCGGTTGCAAACATCTTTTTTTCTGCTGTACAGTTGGGTGCGTGGTTGAGACAAGGGAGCTAATGGGGAGTGAGTCGCTTTTGAAGCCAGCCTTGTGTGACCACAGGAGGGACTGAACGAACCAGTCTCACGTTGCGTCTCCACTGCATACGAAGGTTTGCATACGAAATCCTATAACGCATTTGCGATTCCATTTGTCTTTGTTGATCTGCTGCACTTTGCGTCATCCGTGCACATCTTTGTTACGTCTTTGTCACGTAAGCGCAGCTCAAGGCTCCATGCACACAATAACTAGCAGGCGAGGAGCTTTACCACAGTGATGTCTGAGATGAAAGGAGAGAGATTGCTTTACTTTGATAAGTTTCAAATTATGTCTATTTTTAGATTTGACACAGCAAGCACTGCTTACCTTGCTTGTCCCGTTGGAATGCCAATGAGTCTAGACACTGGTTGGGGTGGAAATGAGGCAGGTGTAGATTTGAATGAGGAGCTCTAAGTGACCAGAATGAAATGAGGCGAGTCATTCCAGTCAATGTAAAAGGCAGAATGGCAGAAGAGAGCTGACACTTAAAACACACAGAATAGAGGCTGATTGTCTCACAGAAGGTAGGATTGAAAATGATTAGACCAGATTGATGACGACAGAATGAAAAGTGATGTAAAGAATAGACTGGCAGGAATGCAGGCTGACACAGGAATAGATATCTTTCTTACTTAACTTGCCCATAAGCTTGAGTTTTACATTTTGACACTTGCCATCCGGTTTTCTATCTTTTAAGCTGGCCAAATTTGGAGAAGACAGTAGAGCAGGGGTGGGCAACTCCAGGCCTCAAGGGCCGGTGTCCCTGCAGGTTTTAGATGTGTCCTTGAACCAACACAGCTGAATTAAATGGCTAAATTAGCTCCTGCAGTTCTCCAGAGGCCTCGTAACGAACTAATCATGTGATTCAGGTGTGTTGACCCAAGGTGAGATCTAAAACCTGCAGGACACCGGCCCTCGGAGCCTGGAATTGCCCACCCCTGCAGTGGAGCTAGGGAGTTACAAGGGAAAACATGTATTTCCCAACCAGTTGACAAAAACCTCCCTGATACTGCTAACACCAGCATATTGTTGCAGTTGTACTTTGAAAGGAAGTGGAAGACTTGTCAACAAAATAAAAGGAAAAATCTCTGAAAGCTGTAGTACAAATGTGAAAAGTGCTTCACAAACTTTTTGTCCCCCTTTTTCAAGGTTTGCTACCACTTGGCTAGTAAGTGTTTGAAAACAAACATGAAAAAGTAGAGGCAACCGTGGCAATCTGCTAGCAACCAAAACAGTCAGAAGGAGTCTTTCGTGCAACACCTTCTTTACAAACGATTTCACCCAACCACATCCAGGAACCTCTGCCTGACAGTTTCCCAAGCAACTGGTGGTTGTATGACATCCACAATGGCAGACAACTCTTGAGCGATGTGCTCATGACATCAGCTCAATGCCAAAGAAAAATACTTCAGTTGCACCTGCTTTTTTAGTCAGCAGATGTCACCGTTTAGACGGGAACTTCAGGATCATACCTGAAACTGTCACCTTCGCTAGTCTGCAGCTGAATGTTAATGACAGAGTGCTTTTGCAACACCAGCGTTGTTTGTCCTCAGGGGTTTAAATAGTGATAGCAGAGCATTGCCACAAGATGGAAGTGCTGGGATGATGTAGGCAGAATTATTGAGCGTGAGGATTTCACTCTAAATGCTCGTGCCACGGTGAAGGGATAGGATCAAGGTCATACAGCGCAACAACGTATCATGACGAGGAGGCTTTTAATTTGCAACTTCTTTAAACAGATGCTGTCTGACGGGGCGCTTTTGATGGGACAGATATGCACACACACACACACACGCCAATAAAAGTGTAAACAGTAACATTTAAAGAGAGATTCCTTAGTCCTGTTTTGAGACTCTGGTGATGGTCTCCATGACAACTGCATTCCTCTACACAAATGTCCTTTAATGTACGCATGCGCACGTGCACGCACATGCACATGCACACATGTCGACTCCTCTTTGCATGTTTCTCTTTTTTCAGTTCCCTTCAACTGTCAGATCCTCAACTGTCTCCTGACTCTGACACACACTTTCATCACATTCATATTGAAATGTATCTAGGGCACGTTTGCCACTATGCTTTGCTGCTCACAGGTGAAGGCATGTTACAGAGCATCATCCCTGTGAGTGACCTGAGTGAGATCTCATAGTTTTATGAGGGATGAGACGAGGAGCTCAGTGTACTCTACCAGCGCAGATGCACTGGGTGTGGTTGTGTTGGGGATGCATTAGGAGGCAGCACATCGTTCTGAGTGTTTTAGTGAAGATCGTTTTACACTCTGCAACAGGAAGCTTGCTGATATCATAAGCGCACTTCTCTCCTTTCTCCTTCCTCTGTATGCAGACACAATCTAACACACATATAACATGAGCATTCATATTTCATATTTGGAAATTCCCAGTAAGTCCTCCTGCTCCTCAGAGCCAAATCGATTCCTCTTGTAGAAAAAGAAGGGATTGTAAATTCTTTGCCCAGCAGCTCTCCCCATCCACGCTCCCCCTCCCCTGACAGTAAATCTGCTTTTTTCTTTTATTGGAGCCTTTTTTTTTATCTTCTTCTCTACACATCTGAAGGAGCAAGGGCTGGAGGGCTGTGCATGAACAGGGCTTCGCTCATGAGAAGTGCGCATTTTTCTTCACCGAAATCTCACTTTAACCTGATAGCAGCACCATGCTATGTGGTGATCGTGGTGATCATCATCACCATCTTTTTCTCTCCACACGCCTTCCTCTCTGACCTCCTTCTGAACAACTGCAATCGATCCACAGGCTCTGGGAAGGGTGTCATTCCTATCTGGTGACAGCAGAGGTCATGACATCATCACTCCAAGACACATAACCTGCCCAATCATCACTCGGTGTTCATTTTTAGGGTTAGACGGGGAGGTGGGAGGAGCCAGAGGGAAAGGGAGCACAGGGAACGAGGAAGAGGATGTTACAGGAAAAGATTGGACTCGACACAAGTGATTTAGTTTCCCCAGAATTCCCCATTATCCCTATTTCTGTAACCCATCTGTCTGGCTCAGCATTTGTATTTCCTCTAAGCGTAGTCGGAGTGATCTCATATCAAAACAAGCTTTGATCCTCTGACTATAGTTTTTATATTCGGTTTGTGTTTGTGTGTGTGTGTGGGATGAAGGGGAATTTCAAAGAGTGCCAGACAGAATATCTTCACCTGTCAAGATCGGCTGAATTATTAAGCATCCATATGCTGTTCTAAGCCCACACTCTTTCCTTTATTTCAGTATTTATTACTTATTCTGTGTTACTCATTCCCAGGCAGTAAATGCTACAGACCACCCTTCTCATCAGGCAGCTTTTGGTTTCTGTTCGCGTGTGAGGCTCGAAATGATGGAAATAAGTCTAATGTGGTGCTTGTGTGAATCCTCTGCTTTGGAGCACAGCGATCACAGTGGGAGGGGCACACACACATACACACACGATTCCACGCATACATACATACACACCCACAAACTGAGGCTTGTCAGTGCTGAGTGTGTCTTCAGTGGCTGTGCTTGACTAGCAGTGGTGAACGGCAGATTTGAGTGGACATTTATGATTTATGGAGCTTTTTTTTGTTTGTCGCACAGGAATGGTGTCAGTGGGTCTTTAGCAAAGATAGTCCACACTGTGGCATGTGAGTGTGTGTCAGCAGGACTGAATCAGCAGGAATGATTTGAGCTTTATTGACTTTGACTCAGAGTGTATGCTCATGCTGGAGTAGAAAGGATTTAAGAGTAAGGATACAGATGTAATGACACAGGAGGAAAACATGGTAGAGCCACTCTAGGGGCCAGAGGACTGCCCCCTTCTCTCAGAAAAAAAAAGAAAAAAAATGGGAAACGGTATCCAGAAGAAGAAGAAGACAGAAAAAAGCTCATCTTCCTCTCCATCCTCGTGCCTGAGTCCCAACAGGGAGAAACCTAAAGGCGTCTGGCTGTTTGGGCACGCGGACAAACTGACAACAGGTAAGGTTTTGTCATTTGCTTATTGTCATTTTAAAACTGAAGGAGGAGTTTGAGAAGAGATGAAGCCGACTTTTAGTTGTGGCTACTCATGCAAGGTTGTGCAAAGTAGTTCCCACAGTAAGCTTTTTATGTGCAGGGTGAATATTCCCATGCTGACTTCACCTTAGTCAGCTGCAAGGGTTCCTGCTTATTGCACCAGTGTGCACAGGAGGACTGTGTGTGGGTAAAGTTCTGTGTTTGTGTTGTGGAGATTTCTGTTCCTGCTGACAAATGATCAAGTTAACAGAGCGTTTTATTTTAGCGCTAACTTTACTCTTTTTGTTCCTCGCTGCTCCTTTACCCCACCCTTCCATCCATCCTGAACCACCCTCAGTGTGTGTGTTATCTTTGGGCTGAGAGTGGGGATTATTTTATGACTGTCTGACCGCTATACCTGCTGTGGAAAATAGAGCTTGGCCTGTCCCACGCTGATCGTTGTCTCTGTTAACTGTCCCCAAAGCAAAAAAAGGAAAAAAAAAACCCTGACAAACAGGTTCAGCCCTGACACAAACAGATAGATAGTCAGATAGCGCTCTGCTACTGAGATTTGTTTTTCCACCAGGGCGCCATGACATAATCTTTTTATTTATTCCTCTGGAGTAGCTTTGTCTTTCATGCTTTCTTCCCAGAACCAGTCCTATTTTTATTCTGCTGTTTGTAATGGTGACTGATAAAATCTGGTCACTTTCGCCTGTCTTCTTCTCTGTCTCTGTATTTTTCTTTTAAAGTTAAGAACAAACTAGATCTGGGGTTGTTAGGTTACAACACACATGGTTTTATTTTGACTAAGCCTTCATAGACTGTATATAAAAGATGGGCACATCCACTGTGACATCACTGACTGGTGTCTGGCTCCACAATTTAGTCACCAATATGTTTATTTATTTATATTTTCAGACTATAAACATGGTTTTTTGTGCTGTTTAAGATGGGAGTCTATGGGGGATGGAGTTGCTTTTGGAGCCTGTCTTTTTCATTATGGGGAGATTAAATTGTCAATGCTGACCTTGCAAGATCAGAAACTAAAAAAAACACTTTATGAAGGAAGCTGGCTCACAGTCTTATAGACATCCCACTCTCAACAAACCAAAGTGTCTTCATGCTTGTTGCTGTTAAAAATTTGAACAAACTGTGTGGTTTACTGTGTGCTTGCATACACGTCTGCGCTCAGGGTGGTCAGTGTCTTTGCGAGCGTGCGTGGTTATCGTCTTCTGTTCTCCTGTTCTCATTCATGGGGGGTTTATTCAGAAAGACTGTGAATGCATTCCCACATTCCTGCTGATTTACTTATGCATGAGCACTCATCCTGCACACAAACCCACAATTTTCAAGAGCAAGTCAAAGTGAAGCTTCTGAGGTGATTGTAGCTGCCCTTTGCAACGCAAAGAGGCAAAATAAAAACAGCCTAGATTGTGTTGTATGCATACTGTTGAGCTCTGTGCTGTAGGTGTAAAAGGGAAACACACAGAAGATGAACTTGGTTAACTATGTTTCTGTCTCTGTGGTTCTGGGTACGTTCCAAACCGGAGCACTGCCTCGCTTTCATCTAACACCTGAGAGCTTTATATCTGGGATTTTGGCACCCGGCAGAGTGAGAAACGACTGGATGTCACACCTACACCACCTCACTTGTTCTGTATTTTTGACCAAGGTCATCAACTGGAATGTGTGATGTTTCCCAAAGCTGGTCAAACTCTGTTAAACATCTCAGACTACATAATGTGAGAAAAAGCGTTTGCCGCTATCCTGAGTTCTTAGTTTTTTGCTTATTTTTCAAACTTACATGTTTCAGATTGTCCAAAAAAATCTAATATGTTAAATTAAATAATCCAAATAAATACAAAATGCAATTTGTAAATGATGAGTTCATTTATTGAAGGAAAAAAAGCTATCCAAATCTGCCTGGGCCTGTGGGAAACAGTAATTGCCTCATACTGTTAAAACATGAGTTAACTGTGACTAGCAACACCCAATCAGGAAAGGGACAAATGCTTTGTCATGGCACAAGATAAATATATATGCACTGTCCTGCAGAGCCCTCAACCCCTTGAGCCAGCTCATCACTAAAACTGGATATAGATTTACGAGTCGAGTGACCATCAGCCACCTCCTGTATATGGATGACATCAAGCTGTACACCAGGAACAAACAAGGCATTGATTCACTGATCCACCTCACCGGGATGTGCAGCAAGGGCATAAGGATGTCACTCAGGCTGGATAGGTGTGGATGAATGGTTGCAAAGAGAGGGAAGGTGATCCAGACTGAAGGGGTGGAGTTACAGGACAGCTCCAAGTACTAGCAAGCTGAAGGGTGGTAATAAGATTTGAGTTATCAATACAAATGCCACACTGGTCATCAGATTACTCTGCTGGGATGATAAGCTGGCCACAGGAGGACATACATGTCACTGATGTCAGGACACCAAAACTCCTCAAAAGCGCCTACAAGAGGGCCTCAGGCAGCTGAAGACAGATGGTGATGAGGAATAGGAAGAGTAACGTCATGGAAAAACAAGCCCTTTGTACTATCAACAGATAAAGTTGCTTCAAGAAAGCACCAGATCCACAGGGACAGGATCTATCACATCCGAGAGATTACAGGTACAGACTTTGTAAAGCTTTCCCGGAGACAGTCCAACAAATAGTAGCAGGATGTAAGATCCATGTTGGGACAGCATATATTGAAGAATAGAGAAGTACCTGGGGCTGGAACAGCTGGAGCACAGGTGTGAGGTAAAGTCCAAAGTGGTCCCAGTGGTAGCAAGAGTGGTAGTAGCTGTAAACCTGAAGCTGGAGGGGCACCAGCAGATTCTAGGATGCCATTCCTGAAGAGC